AGCACCGCAGCTGGCATCGGCATCGGAGAAAGGAGCAGCCAGCGGCAGTCAGGCCATGGAGCCTCCCAGCCACCCAGCTGGAACAAGGACCCCTGAACAGGGAGGGGACGCAGGAGGGGAACAGACCCATGGTAGCTTGGTGGTGGCACAGCCGGGGGCTCCGGTACAGGGCACCTCGCTGGCACTGGCTCCCTCCCTAGAGGCTTCAGCAAGGAAGAGTCCCAGCAGCGCTTCCCGCTCGGAGCCCGGGATACAGGGACCCCTGCGTGACCACCCCCTGAGCCCAGCCCTGGAGTCTGCGCCCAAAGCACCCATCTGCCCAGCACAGGAGGAGGCGAGTGGGGAGAGAGCCGGCACCGAGCCGAGCTCCCTGGACGTTGTGAGGCCCAAGGTGCCAGGACAGCTGAGAAAGAGCCGCAAACAACGTGGAGCCAGTGCTGCCGAGACAGCCCCGGGTGACAGGGAGCCTACGGGGGCTGCAGCGCAGGGGACTGGCGTACCCATGAAGGCACCTTTAAGCTCACCAGTGTCCCCACGAAAGAGCAAAGGGAAGGAGAAAGCAGCCAAGCCAACTCCCGTGAAGCTGGGAAGCGAGGAGGCAGGGGAGAGCAAACGGCTGGTGCCCAGCCCTGGCACGAATGAGGGTCATCCAGCCCTGAGCACTCCCCTGAAGCAGAAAGCGAAGGAGCTGGGGGCACAGCCCCTGGGGAAGGCAAAGACCACCAAGCATTCAAAGCCAGGGCAGGCTGGTGGCTTGGGCATACGTGACAATGTGCCAGTGGTCCCTACCAGCGGAGCCGCGGCTCCTCCAGGAGAGGTATGCCAGGAGGCACCGGGGAAGCCTCTCCATCCCAAGAGCGTGGAGGCTTCTGGAGGGGATACTGCTGAGGGAGCTCATGGGGAGACCCCCAGGGAGCTGGGCCCCCCTTGCTTTGCAGCCGAGGTCTCTGCAAGGACAGACACCCTGGACGTGACATGGCCTGAGATGTACGACTATTTGTTCTGTGACTCTCAAGGGGAAGAAGAAGGAATGGAGAACTCAATGGAAGGGGAGAAAACACCCTTGGAAAGGGAAATATCCTTGCCTGAACTGTATGAATATTTTTTCAATGAACCAGAAGGAAACAGGAAAAAAGTCAAGGGTAAAGAAAGGAAGCGAAAGAAGTTCAGCAGCTTGGACCATGCTCAGCTGCAAAATAAAGATCCCGACTCGGCTCCAGTCAAAGACTCCCTGGTTATCTCTGTCCCTGAGGTGTATGAACACTTCTTTCCAGACAGGCCTGGGAACAGGGCGGGCTGGAGAGGGATTTTCTCAATCACTCCAGCCTCCGAGGTGAAGAAAGCTGTGGGGGCTTTGAAGTCCCTTCTGCAAAGGCCAATGCGTCTCGTCAGAGGGAAAGCCCCAGTCCCCCAGGCTCTTGTGCGGAGAGGATCTGGAGAGAAGCTCCCCCTCATCCCGCTGGCTCCGCTGGGAAGAGGCCAGGCACGGCCAGAAGGTTTGGACATGGCCCTTGCATTGACAGGTAAAGCCCTGTTACCCCCTGCCCGCTGCCCGACAGCCCCGGCTCATCGCTGTGCATAGAGATGTGATGTGCTTCTGCCTTGGGTGGTCTCCCCTGCTCCCACCGCCCCTTGGCAAGCCTGGCAGCCAGCTCTGACCTTGCTGTAGCCATCTCCACTCCAACTGCAGGGGCATTAAGGTCACTATACAGTTGGGAGCCTTTTGGTGGGCTCTGCCAGGTGTAGCTGGTCTGAAATCACACTCCTGGCACGTTGCTTTGTCCCGTAGCAGCCCTGGGTTTTAGCAGGCATCTTTGGAAGCGTGGCTAAAGCCACCACCACGACATGCTGTGTCGCAGCGGCTCTCTCTTGAGATGCTCACGCCATCCCTATGCCAAGCGAGTGCTGCTGGCCAGGCCCCGCAGGATGGCTCCCAGTGCTGCAGGAGGCATGGACAGGGAATCTGGGTATATTCTGTGCATAACTTGCTTTGCTCCCCGCAAACTCCAGTCCTGGGGCAGAGGCGGTCGTGACTGCATGCATGCAAGAGGCTGAAACTCAGTCTGGCCCAAAGTCCCTGTCTGAGATGATTCAGTTGTTCCCCTGATGGATATAACGTACTGTGGATCTGATCTATCCTTTTTCACTCTGGCCAAGAAAAGCTTACTGAAGCAGATGGCCACATTAAACATGGGTGATGTTATTGCAAGGTCTGGTTGAGGTAGGAATCCCCCATCCCAGTGCCATCCAACCGCCTGCAGGACCGCATACCTACCTGTATTTCTGATGAGGGAATGGGAGGCAAAGTAGCAAAATCCTTCTGTACCAGAGAATTCATGCCCCTGAAGTAAGGGAATGGCTGCTGAGCTGCTGTCCTGTTAAGGCAGGGTTGCTAATGGATGTAATATTGGTGGGGGAAAAGGTGTGCACAGGGTGCAACACATACAAGGCTTCCAGCTGAAAGAGGTGAGGGGGATTTTAAAATACACGGTAATTTGAAAAACACCCTCCAGAGACCTCAGATGTTACCTGAGCATTGACTGTTATTGGAAGCAGGTAAGAGAAACAGGAATATAGGGAGAGCAAGTCTGACCCACTAGGACAGCCAGCATATTTATCTTAAAGCTTATACGATGCTTACAGGCACAGTGCCTCCCAGTTAATACTAAAACCAAACAATGAATGAGTCATCCCAAAGGGTGCCTTAAAATAGAGCTTCCAGTCTGTTTGCACACAGGAAAAACCCCTTTGCCGTGGTCGTAGCTAATTAATAAGCCAGCTTTAATTAAGAGCCTGATCAAATAAGCACAGGAGAAAAAATAACCTACTCTTGCAACCCGTCTTCAAGTTGTGCTAAGCTGGAACTCCAGCAGAGAAAGAAATGCAGAGCATTCAGGGCTGTCTCCCTCCCTGGACCTAGCAGGTGGTGGGAATGAGGTGGGATCCACAGAGAGATGCTGAGCACGGGTGCTTCTCGGGGGGGATATGTGCTGTCCCAGAGCTGCGTGTATCTCAGGGCATTGTCTTGCAGGCAGGGGACCCTGTCCAGAGGGACCTGCCTGCAGCCCCAGTCCATCAGCAGCCAGCCCAGGAATTGTCCTCTCCTAAATCTACTCCCTGCATCCAGCCACCACACAGGGGTGCGTTGGGAAGAAATGCAGGGAGGTGGTGAGGCCATCAGAGCCCCTGGAGGCACCACGTCCGCGGGCCCATGGGTAGCATTAACAAAGCTTTGCACTGGGCTTTTAACCAAATGTAAAACTGAGAGGGGAGGAAAAGGTGCCCCTCTCCTTAAGAAACGTACCTGAGTCCTAAATAGACATGTTTGACTTCACCACTGGTGAAATAAGGTCTTCTGGGAGGGAAAATGTGTGACAAGGATGTATTTCTCTGGGAGTGCAAGGGACTCGCTGCCCCAGAGGGATTGGAGCCTGCTGTGGTGGAGGAGACGTCGGTAAAACCCCAACCCTTGTCCTCTTCTTCTCGCAGGGAGGCCCGAGGCTCCGCTGGCGCTGACCCACAAAGACATGTGCCTCGTCTTCTGTGCCTTTGCGTCCTGGGCAGTGAAGACCTCTGACCTGCAGGCTCCGGATGCCTGGAAGACCAGTACGTACGGGAGAGGGGTGGGAAGGACCTCGTGGAAGACATGGTGGGGAGAAAGGCAGGGATGCTAACACACCTAACATTGCCTATGGGAAAATGTAGTCATTTTCCTGCTTTTCCAAAGTGTCCTGTTACTTTCTAATGCTTTCTCTCTCCTGTAGAAATGACAGTCCTGATTCTTACTCACTTACATTGTCCTTTCCCCACACAAAGCGACTGCTGACTTGAACTGAGCCGTAGGACAAGTCTGTATTCCTAGCCTTGGCCCTGCTCCATCCAGCCTCTGACAGGGACCAGTACCGGTGGGTCAGGGGAAGAGAGGCTTCTGTAGCATCCCTGATGGCTAGAAGCTGAATCAGGACCTGGAGTATGCAGGTTTATACTCCTTCATCTCAGCTGGAACAAATGCATATATTTTTCTAATATGCTGTAAAGGTATAATCTTTTTTCTAAATACAGCTTAGCTGAAGTATTATCCTGGTGCACAGAATCCTGCAAGTAAATGGAGCTCTGTCAGTTCCTCTCTTCTCCAACCGCAGCATTTGAATAACTGATGGGGAGGGAGGAAGCTCAGGCATCACGAATGAGCTGAGCTGTGACCCAAGGGGTGCGGGTCGCTGGATGAGCAGGGCACGGCACAGCGAGTACAGCAGTCCTGCCCCGGCTGCAGCAACGGAGCACGGGGTCCAGCCCGTGGGCATCACAGAGCTCCAACCATGGGGCAAGACACCGGGGCCAGGGCTTCCCGCTGCTTGTCCCGGGGGGAGGAATGTTCCCCACTAAGGTCACGCAGGAAGCTGACACCCTGGGCTGAGAATAGCTCATTAGCTAAAGTTGCTCAGTGCAGTCATCACAAGGAGCTTTTGGCCTGCTCCTCCTTGCCTTCTCAGTATTAGATAGTAGTGGCCTCAGAGAGGGTGCGGAAAGCAGGATTACGGGCCTTGTGCCCTCGGGATTGCACAACCCAGCGTTGCAGTAAGCACCCCGGCGAGGATGGGAGGCGAGAGGCGGTTTATGACATCCTGGACGAGCAATTCTCTTTTCGGTTCTAACAAGTTGAATTTCCCTATCTATGTCCCGGGTTCTAACATGTAAATCAAAATGAAGTCTGAATTTAAAGCGGGAAGTCCAAAGGCATGGCTTGGGTTCCCAGGTTTGCTTGGACACACATCAGGGGAATTGAACCTCTCTTATAGGCCAAGCTGAAAACATTAGCTGAAAGAACAGAGAAGAGCTTGATTCTGTGTGTAATCTGCATTAGGTATTTTTTGTATCTCTACATTTTCTGGTTCTGGAGTTTGGATATTTTCTGCTTTTCGGGTGGGATCAGAGTATCCACAGATAACACACAAAATGATATTTTTCTTGGCATCTTCCTGGTCCAAACAGAAGTAGCAAGTGAAGGGACTGTCCTGAAGCCCTGGTGAGATTTCCTACTGTGGCCTTCTCATCTGAGATTAGACCCATTAGATCTCCACATGAACCTGGGTATCTAACCACCACCCATCTCTACTGCACACATGAACCCTATGTTGCGTTTCCCTTAAAAACAGCCGTTTCTTGTGAAACGGTGCTGTGATCCATGTGCCCAAACTGTAGGACTAGATGTGGTCGGCCAGGCTGCGGGCAGCTTAAGACTGAATGCACTGGGAACCAGCACGGTGTGGTGGGGATGAAAAGCAAAGGCAGGAGGGGACTGAGAAAGGGAGGGGAGCGACTCTGCTACATCCCATGGACCAGAGTCAGCCAAGTAGCTTGTGATCTTCAACTCTGGAAAAAGAACTTCAGGTTGGAAAGAAGTACCCAGACTCACTCTGGAAATGTGTTGGGCTCTTTTGCAGTGTTCCTGGCAAGTTTTGGCACGCTTTCTGCCATCCGCTACTTCCGAAGGCAGGTCAGAGAAGGACGTCCCCGGACCTAATCTCAGCGATGCTTCCCGAGGACTGGCGAGGGCGGTGGAGGCAGAGGCCGGGGACTTTGTTGTTGGGCAGTGTGAGAAGCCTGGATCCCAGCACCAGGACTTCTCTGGACCCATCCCTAAACGGGACAGGATGTCATAGGAAGCAGGATCCTTCCAGTGACAGTCATTTACAATACGGTAGGCAGTTTGTACCCGTACGGGACAGAAGAGGAGCCCGGCATGGGCTGGTTCTGTTCTTTCTTTGCACACTTCTTGCGTACTTGTGCTGTCTCCTAGGAGTAGTCACAGTGTCTGTTCCAGGGCGCTGCTTGTCCGTCCTCCCTGCTAAAGTCACTTGGTGGCAAAGGAAGGCACTGAGTTGGTGGAGCGAGGAGAGAGCAAAAGAAACCAGCAACATGCTTCGTTCCTATGAAAGAGCTGGGTTATCTGTGAAGGAAGAGAGGAGAGAGCTTTGGGGAAGAGCTGTCTCTGTCCAAACACGGTGCTTTGCCAAGCACCGGCTAGCTGGCGGCAAGCTGGGCAGCAGCTAAAGGGGGCTGGAGGGGCCGCTCGCTTGGCAAGGCCCAGGTCTCCCATGATGGGTTTGGCTCACTGCGGGAGGACTCATCCTCCTGGATTTCACTCCAAGAAATCACTGTTTGCTCTAACAGTTCAGGGGGCTGAGATAAGGTTTCCGTTGCGTGTGGCCACCTCAGCCCTGCTGAGCCAGAGCCACGGATGCAGGTGATGGAGTCTGTCCCTGCGAGTGATAGAGCACCCACTGCAAGGCCACATCTCACTCCCATAGGCAGAGGACGGGCAGGTATCACGCAGCCAGAGCCAGGGGAAGGGTTGGTTGGGAAAGGCCCTGTAGGAGGCTGCGCAGGATGGAAAGGGGCTGCAGGGGCAGCAGGGAAAGGGACTGAGCTCAGGGATGCCTCAGGAAAGAGCCCTGACAAGGGCAGGAGCATGTTGGAGAGGAGGAAAAGGTAGGTTCCTATGGTAGGTAGGTTTTAGTACATGGTACCAAAAGGTACATGTTCGGCTCTGACGATCACCAGATGAAGGGTCTAGACATATGACTTGGTCCCTCCGCTGCCTCCCATCCTGGAGACATAAAGTCGGCTGGGAGGAGATGTCAGGTGAGGAGGTGCCGTGGCTGAGCGTGTAACCTTGGGGGGCTGGAGGGGACCCAGAGTGGAAGGTGGGGGTGAAAAATGAAAAGGAAATGGTTCCGTTTCTTCCCTGTCTCTGGTGCCTTCCTGATCACTCGAGGGCATTATTCATGAGGGTTTTTTTTCACTCTCAAGTCTGATAACAGCACGAATGTGAGACTTGTTAAGCACTTAGGGACAGATCCACAAAGGTACTGGGGAAAATCTGCCCAGAACACCTGCGCGGATCTGCCCATGAGCTTTATAGGAACACTGTGGCAATGTTTGTCTTACGAAACCAGAGAGGAGAGGTTTAGCTCTTTCCTTGTAACGCAGAGTGCTATGCAATTTTAATGTGTGTAGGGTTGTACTGAAGACCATGTATTATTGCTGATAAGAGAGCACACTGCACAATTGTACGGTGAGATATATAGCAGTAAATAGCGAGAGAGAGATGTACAGGCTCTATATGGACTATAGTCGCTGTATATCCAGTAAGAGGAGTTTAGTGGAGGAGGAGAACGGATAAAATATGCTGGAAGCTTCTAATAAAGATCTATCTCATTTAATACTTTTGTGTACATTCCTGTGTCTACATTGTTTGTGTGTGAAAGTGTTGAACGAGTAGTGACTTTTAAAGAATGAGAAATCAAAGCATTATGTGTCTGTTGATACAAAAATGGAGGAGTTGATGTGCTGGTTGAGGAGCCCCGGAGGACAGAGTACGCAGGGAGACGGGCTGCTTCTCCTCTTCTTTGGCTCAGTCCCCGTGCCTACCCCTCTGAGACACATCTGGGCTGTCGCATGTCACCGACAGCCTGATCCAGAGCGCGATGCCCTCTCTCCTGTCTCAAAAGCACTCAGGACTCGAGCAGAGGCTTTTGCTAACCCTCCAGCCAACTCCTCCCGGGGCCCTCTGAACAGATCAGTGAGCACAAGTCAATGCACAGCTCCTGGGTTCGGTCCATCGATCCTCATCGCCTCTGCCCTTCGATGCAGCCAAGCGCTCCAGTCTGAGCTGCATCCAGGCACGCCTGGCACTGCAACCTCAAGCCCTGAAAGATTTGTCCGGTCAACCTCATTCCCTCCGCTGAGCAGGAGAACGGCAGGCACAGGGGAGGCCGAAGCGTTCGCATATGCTCAGTTTTACTGTTTATCCAGCCATAATCCATTAAACGCTCTCCGCGTTCTCAGCGGCAGGTGGAAATACAGCAGCCTTGGCATGGCGGGTGGGTAATGGGGGAACAGCTGGAGGAATCAGGCAATTTCATTATGTGGGGCTTTCCTGGGAGACTGTCCCAAGGAGCTCAGCAAAGCAGAAAAAGGTCAGAGGAGGGCAGAGACAGGTTTGCTGAAAGGAAGGGGTCTCTGCGACTGCCAGCTCCTGTCTCAGGGGGCTCTGGCTCTTCCTGCCTAGTTCCTTATGCAGAGTCAAGTCCCCAGGGTAAGGGACATCGTTAAATCCTGAACGGTCACTGCTGACTTCTTGCTTGGTTGGAATTTTTCAGATTTTTGTGTTTTCTAGCCTTGTCACACAAATCTGGAGGAAATAACATTTTCCCTTCACTTTGCAGGTGCAGGAACGGTTCGTTTCCCTCCCAGCCATGTACAGTACCCCTCGGTGCAATGCTGGCAGTTAATAAATGATCGCGCTAAAAGTCACTGAATTTAATACTAAACAAAATGGTTGGGAAAGCTGTTCTGGTTTGTCTCAGTCGGTGCAATGCTGGCAGTTAATAAATGATTGCGCTAAAAGTCACTGAATTTAATACTGAGCAAAATGGTTGGGAAAGCTGTTCTGGTTGTCTCAGCAATTGCAAAGTTGACCTGAAGATCTCACTGGAACTGGGAGGTTTTCTGGCCAGAACCCATAATGTTGAGGACACTTTTGATGACATTAGTTCCTCCAGGGAGGTTTGAATGGGGCAGGGCTCTGTGCTGGGATATGGGGAGTCTGCATGTACCCATGTCAGCCAGATCTTTTCTAAGCAATGCCCTTCCTTTGGGGACCTCATTTTCCCTGGGGAAGGAGTTTTGTTCTCAGCCGCTCCCCACAAGCCAAAGCTGCAGATGCTTGCTGCAATGGGGTGCTGCCGGTTCAGCTTGGGTGCCTTGTGACGAATGAAGAAGCTCAGTCAGTTGAGGCTGGGCTGGAAAACTTCACGGTGAATGTATAGCTGCTAAATCCCTGCTGGGAAGAGACTTGTGCATCCTTTCTTGCCATCATTACTTGAAGACTCTGTGCGTGGTTTTTGCAGGAAGCCAACTTGTTCTGCTGCTTGCAGACAGTCAGACTACAGTCGGAGACTACCGTCAGTTTTCCTGAACTGCACAGGGCATGCACGGCACTGACCGGAGGCTGCAGGAAAGCTGCAACTAGTTTAGGAGTGGTTTGGGTGCAAGTAGTAATACCAGATACAATCCAGAAAGGAATCAGACCTAGACGTTGCCAGAGGTGGGGATGGTAAGAAATGCTCTGCACTCCCAGTATCCCAGTCCATAGGTGAGCCACGAGCAGCTAAAACACTGCACCCAGGGTGGGACAAGCAGCCTCCTGGCTGTCCCGGACCCACTCAAGCCGGGAAAGGCACAGGAGCACCCAGCGCCTGTTTTCCCACCCCAAGGGACCCAGGGTACATCTTACTCTCTCAATGCCTCCATCCTCGTGTTCAAAAACTCATGCCAAGTTTCTTCTCAGGAGAATTCAGTGCTCATGTTACGCTGTAGGTAACAGGAGGTGCCCACCGCCTCTACCAGCGAGTGCCCTTTGCCACTCTGCGATAATTGGTGTCTGATCCTTTAGAGCTTGGGATGGGAGACATAAATGTGATTTGGCGTCTCACCCTGCTAAAAGTTACCGAAGGTGCCAGATGATCCATCAGGTTATAGGTGCATTTCACACTTCTTTTGATCTCTGCTGGAAGAAGTGGATGAGAGAAATATTTCAGAAAAGAGATGTTTTCAGCCCACTGCAGAAGCAGAAGGAAATACTGAAAGATCTTGTTGGTATCAGGAGATGGGCTCTGGGAGTGTCTGCTGTGCTCAGTCAAGCAGCAGTATCTCCAGTGTCCTTCAAGGAAACCAGCCTGGACTTGCCTGCAATTTTAATGCTTGGTTTATTCTCCGACCTTTTAAGCTCTCTCCTCTCCCTCCACGGCAAGGTCATCTTGCCTGTATCTCACCCCGGCAGGAGGAGCCAGGAGCTCACCATCTTTTGCAACAGCAGCAGCCACCACAATAGAAACGACCTTTTCAGTGCATCCTTGCTGCCGTGAGACTGTTTTCCCTTCAGCAAAGAGAGTGTCAGTGCTGGAGGTGGGAGCCGTGCCATCCCACCCCACTTCTTTGCCTTGCACGTAGCTCCCACATCTGACACCTTGTCTTGCCAAGCAGATGAAAAAGTCAGGCAGGTGCACCATGAAGAACTCCCTCCGTATTTCATCTGGCCTTGAGACATCATGTGCTACCCAGCTGCCACAGTCCCAGCCTGGAAGAGGGCTGCATCTCTCCCCCCTCTCCCGCAGCAATCGGTGTTGCCCCTTCACTCTTATTTTTGCTTCGTCCTTCTGTAATAAAACCAGAGCAAAGCTTCCCGTGGATATTTCTGCTAGACCATTTCTGACTCGTGATTGTCTTCTCCCCCCGCTTCAGAGAGATTTCGGAGGGCTCGTGGTGCTGTGCCAGCCCCGGGAGGCAGCGGGCAGAGCCAAGGGAGCGGTGACCTCCCTCTTATCTAGGACCGACAGCAATGCCAGTTGCTTCGGTCGGTCGTGACAGCGTGACATATTTTGGTGGATTCCCCCACCCACAGGGCAGAGAGGGAGTTGCTTATGACAGACCAGAGCAAATCCTGCACATCCTCCACTCTTTAGGGGACTAAAGGCTCTGCAAGGGAGGTGCTGGGTTTTCCCAGCAAGAACAAGGAGCAGGTTTGGACCCAGCAGGTCCTTCCCCAACCTCGGCCGTGGTTTCAGGCTCACAGGCAGCCAACGGGAAGAGACACGTTCCTACAAAATGCTCACCAAGGAACTCCCAAATCAAGTGTCTTTGCAAATACGATGGGCAAGTCCACGCGCAGCGAAGGAGGGGGAGCTGACCAGGTGGGATGCTCTGCTGCAGCTACACCCTATCTTCGTTACTGGGACTTTTTCATCAAACTCCAGAAGCCAGAGGAGCAGGTTACAGGCTTCACTTTGGTTTTTTTTAAAAACACCTCTCTGCTGTTTATTCTTTGAGCAAAAGAAGTTTGGAATTGTGGTTTGGAAATCGGAAAGCAGAGAGAAATACAGTGCCTCAGTAACTGCTCTGGTTTTCCAGCTATGGTTTCAGAAGGGGGGGACCCAATTCAGGCCTTTTAGCACTTGGAGGGTGTGTGTGGAGGGGGGTGGAGAGATCATTTGTCAGAGAGTGAATTGTTGGCAGCTAATATCATCTCATGCCTTTCATCTGCCTCTGTGAATAAAGATGCAGCTATCCGGTGACCGAGCGGAGCTGCAGGATGTGTACAGGCTTGCTGGCAGCTCCGGAGCACCGGGTCTGCGCTTTGGGGGTGACCTCCTTCCGACCGCATTTCTGCTGCAGCCAGGCTGCGAAGGATGAATACATTCTTCAGGAAATGAGAGGTGTTTTGTGTGTTTACAGGTACTACAGTTTCCATTTTAATGTAACCCGCACTGAGACATCTACTGCCACTTTAAGTAAACTCTCTATTTTTAAGCTCTGAATCTGCTGAGAAATGTGTTGGAGGAAAAGCAAGAGAGTGGGGGTTTCCACGGTCACAAGGCAGGTGTCCGTGACCAGAGCTCACAACCACATCCCTGTTCCCACCAGCTACGGAGCTGCCTGGATCAGCATCTGGATAGGAAACCATCCGGGGAAAACCCAATGGCCAGCAAACCCCATGACTCAACAGGGAACCCAGACTGTGCTGGGGAGCTTGGGTGTGGGTCTTGACCGATCTGATGCTTATGGGGGCTGGTTTGGAAACATTTTAGGGCTTGTACACACACATAAATTGCTCTGCATTAATGATACCAGCCTAGGAGAGCTGTACAACCTTCTAAAGTAGGGACAGATAGAAGGAGGGCAGGAAGAAGTGCATCTTCCAGGGGAGCTAAACCCAGCTGGGAAAGGATTTAAGTAAAACTCCTTTAGCTGCTTGTATGGCAGGGGCTGTGTGACCAGTTCACTGGCGGTTTGTTATCACATCCTTAGTTCCTACAGGGTAACAGTGAAGATAAGGCAAGGAGTGGGCTGTAGTGGTCAACCGGGCAGCAGCATTCAGGGATGGGACACTCTGGTCTTGTTTACACCCACAGCCCCGCTCTCTGTTGGTGCAAGCCCCTGACGGTGCCCGTTTGCTAAGGGCAGGCTGGCGTTTCACCCCGAAACGCTATGTTTTGTGCCGGGCAGCAGCTGGAAGTAGCTGCACTCTGCCCCAGAAGTACTGTAGGAACAAGGCAATAACTCAGGCACAGACGCACGAACACAGAGACGGAGTTCAGGACCTGAAATCAGAGCCAAACAGACCACGGCAGCTGTGCACAAAGCCGTGCTGGAAGCGTGAGAAATGAGCAGCCCGCATGTTGAAAGGGCAGCATTTGCAAGAGTGACAAATTTAGCCCAAATGTAGCTGGGGAGGAAAGTTGCCACTCTGGAAGCAGGACTAAAATTGCTTTAAAAGCTGTGTGATGGCTTTGCAGCGTTTTGAAACCGGGATCTCGCACCTTGCTACTGGTGGCCCTGTGCACGTGTGTGTCACTGTCACCGATCAACGTGATCGCACCTCGCGGCGTGGGAGAGCTGCGCATCGGGGGACAGATACACCCGGGCTTCTGCAGCCAACACATCTTCCTCTTGCCCCGTTATTCAGTTTCTTGAGCACCTCTGGCTGCAGCCCAAACCCCTGCCATCTTCCCAAGGGTTAGCATCTTCCAGCAGCCACTGCGGTGCCTTGCTGTCTTGCAGAGAGCTGTGTGCTTGGAGGCCAAGTGCTCTGCCTGCCTTGCTGCTCCCAGCCCTAAAAGATTACTGAACTTTAAACTGAGGGCCATATCCAGTTCCTCAGTGGTCTTCTCCGCAGAATACTGGCAGCCAGGACACCTGGTTTTCTGCCCAGAGCAGATGGAGGGACAGAAGTGGCCTACAGGCATCTGGATGTAGTCCTCAGGACGGTATTTCCTTGCCAAGCAAGCCTCTGCCGTGGCCAGCTCCTCTTCCCAACTGACTTTGTGAGAAAGCGACTGCCATGAAGTGAGATCAGACCGACAAAACGGCAAAGGCCGAGCCAAAAACCCTGCGCCATCTGGCAGCCGGCGGTGGGCTCAGCTCCGTACCTGAGCCTAGCCCTGGGGCTGGCCAGTGCGTCCCACTCGGTTCTCCCGGGTTCCTCCCAGGCTAGAGAGTAGACGGCACAGAGCATCCCGAGTCACAGCATGGCACCGGCATTCCCAGCTGCATGAGTCCACGGAGCCATTTGGAATCACCGACTGATTTTACAGACTTTTCCAAGACCCCCGGGACACAGAGCTGAAGCAAAGTCCGATTAGCTTTGGCATTAAGCCTCTAGCCAGGTCTCGTTGCCTGACAAACCCAGGGGAGATTTTGCTCTAGGATTAAGTGTTTACAAGTGCCCGACCTGAACCAGAGACAGCCAGCACTCTGGAAATCCTCCCGGACCCAGGGCCCCAAAGTCCTCAGGGGAGGAAGGGCTTTGGAAAGGACAGCAGCAACGGACAACAATTCATTAAACCAGACGATGGCAAAGAAAGAGAGAAGAAAAATATTCCAGAAGAATGTGTATTGCAATTGTCCAGTCTCACAGAAATCCACCAGGGAACTTTTACAGCGACAGGGAGGGGCATATTGCAGATATCACTGTTAAATCCCAATTAAAAAAGATGACGGTGACCATCTTCGAAGTCAGCGTGTTCATAGGAGCTCATGAGCACGGCTGCCTCCGAACACACTACGTGCTTCTGACGTTCCCTAGTGCAATTTTGTTCTGAATAAATAGATCCTTTGGGAGTTAAGTTATGAGATACAAATCTTCCCAAAATGAGAGTAAACCTGAAACAAAACAATACAGCTAGAAGACCCAAACCAACACACACACCAATGTGCAGACAGCTGTCCATTCTACAGTACTGAACGTCACCCACAGCTAGAAAATTAAATAGATTTTCAACTCAGCCACATGTACACATTAAATATATATAATCCACTCAAACCTCGCATGTAAACTTTGTTGGATACCTTCTGAAAAAAAAAATATATAAGTACAATGTAATACGTAGATATTCAAGTACAAAGAGCTCCTGGATTGTTTTGCTTGCACCGGTGAAAGAAAGAAAATAGAGATTTGGTTTGCAGCCTCTTTTGGGAACAAAGGTTAAGATTTTGGAGCCTCAGGTAAAAACACTTGGATTTGCTGCTGACCTTCTATGTGCTAAAGGATCTGGCCTAAGAGCCTGGAAAACGATAGCACTGAGACTCTGTCCCCTGTTGTTTGTGTCCTGGTCTTGCTGCTGTGCTGGAGGGGGGAAGAGAGAGATTGCAGCCCACACCGCCATCGCTCTGATCACTGGAGCGTTATGGTTTGTAGTGAATTTTCTTCCTTCCCTCCCTCCCTAGCTATTCATAGAGAGCATTTAGTGTGAGTCCAGTAATGTCCAGAGGGATGGGAGGAAAGGACGCAGTCCCGTAAGAGGAATCTGGGGCATCCTTTCCAGGGAAGACCTCGGTAAACACAAGCCACTTGGCATATTTGCTGGCAGCACATTTCGTGATTCCATTTGCCAAGGTGTCAGGCTCCTAATATTGCAGGTTACCACCATGGTTTGGAGCCAGCACTGGCAGGAAAAAATTTTTTGCTTAAAGTGAAAAGCACATCCCCTTCTGCCCAGATCTGGATTTTTTTCTCCATCTCTGTCAGACAACTCTGATCTTGCAGGAAGACAATCCTATGAGCACAGCTACTGCTACCAACCGTACGTACCACGATGGGGCATGTCTCATGTATCTCTGCCGACTTCAGAGCTCAAGGGGGGAAGGTTTGGCTTAACAGCTATTCTCAGGGATCACTGGATCCTCAAAGTGACCAGCCTGCGGGCTCTGGTGAAAAGGAAAATGAT